CTGGGTGATAGGCCCCACAACATTTTAAACCGGTGCAATTAGAGGCACCAGCATACCGTGCCAAGCTGCCAACGTGACCGCAGCCGAAGATGGCAGAGGAAGTCCCTTCTTTAGCCCTTCAGTTCTCCTTACTAATGATCGATGGAAAATCCTCAGCATCTGATGGAAGAGCATTAGGTTGAATCTCAAAGAGTCCAGGGGGAGGGGTTGTTCTCCCAACCTGGAAAAAGCTGGATGGGTTCCAATGATCCTGAAACAGCCACCAATCATTTTGTGTTTGTGTTTGAATAAGTACTGGAAAGAACTTGGGACGACGTGATGGCTTTGTTGCCATCCTGATCTGCGGAGATACCAGTGAATGGGAGGAAAGGAACAACAAACAGGGTGTGAACTTGGAAGATAAAAAGGGGAAGTGGAAATTTTAAGGGAGAGGAGGGAATTGCTGGTGTCCTGAGCACTGTTCCCTCTAAGCTGAGTTAGTGTGAGGTACCTCACAGTTTTTTTAGCCTCCGGCTCACACCTTTCTGTCTTAGCTCAGGAAGGACGGCTCCAGAGCAAACTGATTCATGCAGTAGCCAAAATCGTTCGCTCACAACTTTAATGCCAGTCGCTCACAAAGTAGAATTTTTGCTCACAAGACTCCACAGCTTAGAGGGAGCACTGGTCCTGAGACAGAGGGAAATGCAAAGGCAGTTGTGGTCCTCTCCACTCTTATCGAGAAGTTTCTTTTCAGTGTTCAGACTTTAGCAATTTCTGATGTATATCATATGGTATCTAACGCAATCTGTTCACGTGTTGCGAAGGTTAATCCTTTCTGTCAGCTCAATGGCTCCCACAATGAACTGTAGGCCTTTCAGGGCTCTAAACTTTAACAACTATCTAGTTTAAAAAAAAAAATCCTTTGTGAGTGTAACAAAGCCAAAGAATGATCGTTTATGTGTATGTGACATTCTGATCCTGTCCTTCCTCCAAGGAAGGTGACGTACACGATGCTTTCCCTTCTCTTTGTACCCTCACAACAAGCCTGTAAGGTAGGTTAGGCTGAGAGAGAGAACAATTAATGATTGGCCTGAGGCTGCCCAGTGGGCATCATGGCTAAGAAAGCTTTTGAACCTAATTTACCTAGTCCAAGTTGGACAGTCTTATCCTGGGCTTTTGAGGGGGGGGGGAAGAGGTGCTGGAATTCTCAAGCGGGAAATGAAGTTTCCAGTCTGTACACTGAAAAATCATGAACTTTTAAAATAATTTTGTTGAAGAGGCTCCGGAACTCCATTCTGGCACATTCCCACAGAAAAAAAGCCCGGGTCTTATCTCTTGCATCAAACTGATTTGCTGTACCACAACTTAGATGTGGCGAACAACTCTTCCCTCTTTGCTTTATGTCACTACAGAATGTTATCTCCTCAAAAGCGCTGGAATGGCTTGTTGGCTTGGTAAAGCAACTTTTTACTTGGTGGGTTGCTTCTGCCCTGAATTGCCGCTCCTTCTTTTTATAGTTACCTGAACAGCCACGAAGGCTTGACACTTACCTTTTCTTTTGATTGATAGTTCTAACTCTGAAGATAGCGTCACACCACATGTCAGAGTGGCGTTTGTCAGGGATGTGCTGCTGTAACATTGTGCATTGCCTGTGGGAAGCAACGAAGTCTGTGCACTGTGTGTTCATGAAGGCAGAGCGGACACGGCCTTGGGGACCTGTGGCCAATCTGGAGCTCTTTCGTATGTGTCCCCATATAATTAAAAAAACCCTCACACTGGGCATATTTTCCACAAAAGAGATGGAAATGAACATGACAAACGTTACAACGAGAGGCAAAGCATTTCTCCGGTTGTGCCAGGTACTAAGATCCAGGGGTCGTTTCGTAGAAAAAGAGCTAGGGGAACTCATTAGCATAACTCATTAGCATATGCCACACCCCCTGACATCACCGGAAGTGTGTCATAAGGCCACACCCCCTGACATCACCGGAAGTGTGTCATAAGGCCACACACCCCGCCCCCAACGGTCCCGGCCGCCGTCGCCGGCCTTGCAACTCCACTGCCGAGCCCCATGAGGGGCCCTGCGGTCGCCCACAGGGGGCGGGGCTTCGTCATGTGCCCCACCCCCGTACCTCACCCGGGGGAACTGCGATCCCCCGCGATCCCCCCCGAAATGACCTCTGCTAAGATCACAGGGAGAGGTCCTCTTGACTATTCCATCAACCAAAGAAGCTATGGGTACACAAGACAGGGCCTTTTCAGTGGCAGCCCCACGATTATGGAGCAACCTCCCCAGGGAGGTGTGAGTGGTCCCCGCACTCTCAGTCTTTGGGAAGCAGATTAAGACAATTTTATTCATGATGGCATTTGATAAGGTTCTTCTGCTGACAGACTGTTTTAAATTACTGATTTTAAGTCACGGTTTTTATCTATGTTATTAATTTTACTGTATCTTATTATTTATTTACATCAGAGGTTCCCAGATTTATTTGGCCTACCACCCCCTTTTCAGAAAGAAAAAAATACTCAGCACCCCCCTGGAAATCTGCCTTCAAGAAGAGGACAAAAAGATGCAGTGACAAATTTGCACGTAGTAAAGAAAGATGTTGTTGGCCTGAAGCCAGAGGCCAGCAGCAACCACCACACAATAGCCCCGCAGCAACACCAGTCTTACAAGGGTGCACATGCGGCTGTGATTGGCTGTGGGGACCCCTCTCCACCTCCACCTCCCTCCCTGATCCCAGGGAAGACAAGGAGAAGGCAGGAAAAGGCTGTTTTAGATAGGTTCTGGACTCTTCTTTCTTTATGCTTTCACCGCCCCCTTATTTTTATTCAACCCCC